GGCTCTATCAACGGATTAGGTAGGTTGCAAACGTCTCTCCCTCAGTTTACACATCTGATCCTGATCGGCTTTTCCTCTAATATATCTAATGATGAAAATAATTCATTCACTTGAAATAAACTATTTCTTTGTTTTCCAGATAAAAAATGACGAGCACACCACATTCCAGGTAAGTGAGCAAAAATTAGTTTTATTTTTTAAAATTCGTTAAAGATAAGAGGTAAGCTACACTTCGGCTATGTTCTGAATTTGGCTTCAAAATCCCTGATTTTTCTCGCGGGAATTTAATATCAGAAATTAGTGGTACTACAGCAACACATACATTCTCGTTTTATTTATAACTGATTTTTAATATAATAATATGAGTTGAATTCGCAGGAGTGTCCCCAAAGAGCAAAAACAATTGCCAGTGAGGGGAACACGAAACTAGACTCAGTTTATGGAATGTCAAATAACAATGAAAGTTTGAGATCATGCGAAACTCTCTCCAATATTCTAACATAAAAATATTATAAATACATAAGCAGAACTGATGATTTGCGATGTATTTAACCCGAGAGACATCACGTCTTGCCTACAAACATAACGGATCGCCAGGTTTAAAGCATCTAAATAAAACGTAACCTAACACTTCTACAGAGGTTGAGGAAACCATCATGGCACATCATATTTTAGATATACTTTACAGAAACAATTTACAGAATATATGGTATGGATATTTATTTTTTATTTGAGTAGGATGGATGGGGTTTTTGCAGAGTTTGAATGACGAAGTTTGGGTATGGTGCCTGTTGGAGAAGAAGTTGTGGGATAGGTAGGTGATGTGGTGCACGATGGGATCGAGGTTGAATTCATTGTGTAATTGGTGATCAGATATGAATCAGGATGGAGGGATGGTGCGAAGGAATTGGTTCAGTACTATTTGTGTTTTGTTGATGGTTATTTTTGCAGCATTGATCCATACTGAGCAGGCGTAGAGAAGAGTCGTTCTGCTTAAAGTTTTGTATAATATTATTGCTGTTTTGTATGGGAGGTAATTGTTACTATTAATTAGATTTTTAATTGATGCAGTTTGTTTTTAGTTTGTGTTATTTTGATGTCTATGTGTTGTTTTCATTTCATTTTGGTATTTATGTGCAGTCCAAGATATTTAATGGGCCTTTTGGGGGGACCATGGAATGGGCTCATTATTTAATGTTAATGTGGTTGGTGGAGTGTATGGCCTCGTCGAGAATATTTTTGCTGCAGTTTTGTACGGGTTTAATTTTATTTATAATTTGGACGACCAATATTTGGTTTACATATATTTGTGTGTTGTTTTTAATGTGGATTAGAGAGTTGGAATTGGAAGAGAAAATAAGTGCATTATCTGCAAACTGTACTGTTTGAGGAATGCCTGCTACATACAGATTGAACAGTGTGGGTGATAGGGGGGATCCTTGTAGTAATCCTGCGTTAATTAACCTGGGATGCGAATGATAATTGATGATAGTTGCCGTAAAGGTTTTGTTGGATAAGTAGTTTTGGGTTACTGAGGTGATGTAGTGTGGAGTGTCAATTTTCTTAAGTTTATATACTAGTGCCTGTTGCCAAACTCTATCAAACGCTTGAGTTATGTCAAGTGACATGAGTATTGGGTGTTTTTTTTTTTCCTAATGCTGTGTTGCGATGTTCTGTAATTTTGAGGAGTTGGTGTTGTGTGGATATATGTTCAGTGAATCCAAATTGCTCTCTTGGGATTGCTTTTGTTATTTGTAGGTGATTATTAAGTTGTTGAAGTATTATTTTTTCGAACATTTTGGACAGAGATCGTAGAAGGGTTATTGGGCGATAGCTCTTGATGTTTTTGCTGAATTTTTCTTTGGCTTCGGAACGGGAAGAATAATGGCATGCTTCCAAGTGGATGAAAAATTATTTGTTCTGAATCATAAATTTTATATATTTGATAAATATGCAATAGCGGGGACTGGCAAGTGTTTTAGTATTGAATTATTGATGTTATCGTGACCTTGTGCTGTTGTTTATTGGGAGAGAGTTAATGATTTGTTTTATTTCTTTAGGGTTTGCGAGATGAATTTTGTGGTGTAAGCCGTAGTTCGGTAGTTTTATTGACTATTGACTGTATTAGTGTGTTGTGTTCCGGGAGCAGTTAAGATAGGTTGAGGGTGAAAGTCGACTCAAAGTAATTGGCTATTTCCCCTGCCTTGTCGGATGGGGTGCATAACTTACCTTCGGGTGAGTTGATAGATGGAATTATTTTTCTCTTTTTTAGTATTTGTTTTGTGAATTTCCGTATGTTGTTTTGTGTTGTTAAAGATTGTATCTTGTTCAGAAATTTCAGATTTATGATTTTTTATTGAATTCATAACTATATTTGTTAATATGTTCAGTACTGCGTTTATTTGTGGTTTTTGGTTAGGTTCCATAGTCTTCTGGTTTTGTTTTTTGCGCTTATTATGTTTTCAATTTCAGCAGGTAGAACTGAATGATTAATATAGTTATGCGTTTGTGTATTTGTGGGTTGCGTTTTTGTTATTGCTATATGTATTATGGTGTTTAGTAATATAACGGCGTTTTCAGTTTCTAAAGAAATATATATATATATATATATATATATATATATATATATATATATAACATGTGGCAGACATGTGGCGATGTTTCTCGGCTTCTCTTTTCCAGCCTTCTCTATCCATTACATCTTCCTCGGTCAGATTTCTAGTTGCCATTGCAGTCAGTATTCCTTGTTTCCATGGGGTTGATGGTCTGCCTGGTCGTCTTCTGTTCGGAGGTATCCATTTATAAACTTGTTTGGGCCACCTCAATTCTGGCATTCTCAGCAGATCAATCCGTAGCACTGAAGCTGTTTTCGTTCTAGTTATCTATTATATCCTTTTGAATTTACATTTTCTGTTTCATTTCTTCATTGCGTATGTGGTGTCAACGAGATATTCTGCAACTTCGTCTCCAAAAGTCCATTTGAAATCGTCAGTAATCTCTATTTTGTTTTTTTGTATGAGTCTCCATACTTCCGAGCCATATGTGACAATACTTTCTATTAAGGTACTGTATACATTTTTATTTGTTTCCTTTGATAACTGGGAGTTCCACAGAATTAATTTAGCATATCTATTACTCGTTTCCCTTGATTAATATTATTATTAATATCATTATTACTTGTGCCCTCTTTTGAAACTGTGAAGTCATTTTTTATATTTCACTTTCTTCTCTTCGATCATTTGTTTCAAATCATCATTCCACCAGTATGTTTTTCTTTCCTTTATTTTGGGCTTCTCACCTAATGCTTCAAACGCTGCTTCATAGATTACTGTTTTTATTTGTTCATATAGTTCACTTGCTGGCCAATTTACATTTATTTGCAATTTATTTGCCATTTAAATTTATATAGGAAACTAGTGGAGTTATTTTGCAAGCTATCCAACTGATATATTTTTTGGGACATGGAGAATTGGTTTCTGATAGTTTGATCTTTTGGAAGTTAGGTCTGCGAAATCAAGGGCGAAAACGAAGGAAAGTGTCGCCTGCAATTCTTGTTTCTGGCGATTCCTGGAAGTGCCAAAAATGGTTTACCCTCGTGAAAGACGATAGAGCCCATTTGAGTTGTGGCAGGAAATGGAAGTGTTCGCGAGGTCTCCGTGGGCGATGCGCCGGGCTCCTCTGCTTGGCGTCGCGCCTCTCTCGAAGTAGGAGCTTTGCGGCCCCACAGAGTAATGTGCTGAAGTAATACACAATATGAACTCTTTTGCTATTTAAATTGAATTGAAATGATGCCGTATTTTACGTGACCAGACTGGGGTCATGAGGCCCGCTCTTCCGTCTGACCACGCAAATTTCGCTACGCTCCTTTCACCAACTAGCGGAGAAAGGAGGTATTTCTTGAGCGACCAAAACAGATTATTTGAATTTAGCTCAGAGGCGTCATTGAGGGTTAGCTACGAACCTTTCGTATTTACGTCGGTAAACACGTGCTTAGCTCCTTAGCAACTAACCATCTAGACAACGCTTTAAGAGGCAGTCCATAGCAACGGCCGTTAAAATGTTTGCAAGTCGATTAAAAAATTTAGCGGACTCTTGAGTTTAGATTTTACCAGGGCTCATAAATCTTTGTATAAATACGACCCATTAGTCCCCCGATTCCGTTCGCCCCCTTAGCTCATTTTACCTCCATGTCCCAATAATTTCCTTCTCCAGCGTTGTCCCCCGTTTTGTCCCATTTGCCGCCTTGTCCCTTTGTCCCATTTTCTCCCCTTGACCCATTTTGTTGCCCTGTTCTACTGTTTCCGCCTGTCCCTTTTATCGCCTTGTCCCATTTGCCCAATTTTGTCTCCATGTCCCACTTGGTTTGGTCTGGTCTGTCCCGGTGTAGTTGATTTTGAATGCTTGCCTCTTGCTCATCTGCCCACTTGGTCCCCTTGTCTCATTTGAACCCATTGTCCCAGTTTGTCCCCCTTTCCTCATTTTGTCCCTTTTCCAATATTGTTCATGTTGTTCCCAGAGACCCATTTTTTACCCTTCCCTCTTCGTCTTTGTTTCCCCGCTTTGTCATTACATCCTTTCACGCACTGCGATTGTTATTTACAAGCATTACCAAAAGCCTGTACCAACAACCCTTGCAACAGAACATAGAGAGTAATGACAGTTCTTAACTCATGAAAAGGTTAAATGTTTATTTTCAATAACTAGAAATAATAAAAAAACATTGTATGAAACACGTCCTCTGTTAGTCTTTAAGGTCTCATCCGCAAGGATAACTACTCGGCTCAGCAGTTAACCTTCCGGCCTCGTCCGTAAAGAATAATTTACAGAACATGTTTCAAAATTAACTATTATTCAAAACATACAAATTAAGATAGGTTAACAACGTTGTATACAACTAGACAATCTATTGAAATAGGAAGAACAAAATGGAATAGCTTCTAGAAGAGATATCTTCCTTTAAAGTTTTCAGGGCGAAGGTTTCATGGCTACAATTGTTTCAGAACCGTCTTAGAGCGGCTGAAAAACGCAGCAACGCCGTACGGCCCTGAATACGAGATCTTCTTAAGCGGCCTGATAGCGCTGCGATCGCGCCGCAAGGGCCTCTCGTTTCAGCTGTTCTCGAATGCGGCCGCCGCGCGTCCCATGGATGATCTCGTGCTGCGCGTGCTGAAGCCACAGCCACAGACCATCTTCATCCAGCTGAAGCACGCCAACGCCACTGAGGCAGCTGCAGCGGTGACCACGCAGGTAAACACTCTTAAGCCAAAAGCCACTGATGATAGGCATCTAATTCGAGCACTCCATCTCTATTGGTACAGCGCATTCGGTGACAGCACCTATGTAAATGCTCTTGATCGCAAGGCACTAATCTTCATCCTGCTCAAGCACACTAACTCTACTTGAGTAGATCCAACGATGGCTACACTCTTTGCCTAATTGTGTTATTATTATTATTATTATTATTATTATTATTATTATTATTATTATTATTATTGGCGTATAGGCCATTACTGACCACGCTACACTATTAACGTGTGTGATTCTTCCAGGATCAGCTTTTCAGCTGTATCTTTGGATTACAACAAGGTTGTTACGCCTTGTAGTGTGAATTATATGATAGGATGATGATAGGCGAAGGGTCAATCATAAATATGACCATGTCTACGTAGGATTCGAACCTGCAGCCTCCTCGGCACAGACGACGGCTGCCGCAACCGTCTGCGCCACGGGGCCGACATTATTATAATTATAATTGCGAATAATCTCAATTAGAACAACGCAAAGTACCCAGATATGTTCCTTTCTTTGTGCTCGTCGTTCTTTCATACTGGGTCTGTGCGCCTTTTCTCTCTCTTCGGTTTATAATAATAATAATAATAATAATAATAATAATAATAATAATAATAATAATAATATTTGCATATCGGCCATTTCTGACGACGTTACACGTTGTCTTCCGAGGCCAGTCATGTACTCTCCCGGAAAGATATTAACGTGTGTCATTATCGGGATCAATTTTTCGGCTGTATCCCTTGTTAAGGCAAGGTTTTAAGCCTTGAATTATTTATTATAAGGAGACCACGCGTGAGAACTCTCGCATGTTAAATCCCACCTTTTCCGTATCCTTCCATTTCAGTATTAAGATGGAAAGTTGTTAATGAAACGTGTAAATTTGTTTAAAAAATGTAACTTGTAATGTACTTACAGAATATCAACAAAAATAAAGACAATGCAATTGATGTTGAAACAAATTTTAAGTAAAGGTATAATCAGTATTATAGAGAGATGTTCTTGGAACACTTTACAAAACAACATTTGTTTCTTAAAAACAACAATTGAATTAATTATTCAATCGTCCTGGACAGTTAGCTTTTTGCTTTCCTTGACAGTCACAAAAGTATTAGAAAAAATTTTTACTCTTGAGAAAGCCACTTAAAGTTGACCTAAAGCACATTGTAGCTCCTTTCGTGACTTTTCTTCTCTGCATAAAGAGTTGCAGCAAATTTCATTCACTTTCCTGTGCCCACCTTCAAAGAAATTAGATCGAATAACCAAAGTAAAACAATTTTATTCTCTTAAATGACTATTGCTAAGTCTTTAAAATCAACCAGACCAGAAAAATTAACGAGATTGTGAAAGAAATATACGCCTAAGCTTTCATCGAAATTAATTTTTAATTCATGTTGTCAAAAAATAATTTCCGCCATTTAACTGTCCTGTCCATGAACGTGTATTGAGTTAAATTTCCAGATTTTGAAATTTGAGTGGTGAGGGATAAAAACAAACAGAGTTTGAATAAGAATAATACGAACGTTTAGTGTTTAGTAGATGTATATGATGCGGTTCTGTAATGGGTCATTACATAACAGAATTCGAATAGAGATGGGCAGACCAGGAAAAGAAGAGCGCGTGGTACAAACAAATGAAGAACGGATTGGAGGCGGTGGCTCTCGGAGTACAGAACTCTTGAAGGAGAGTTCTCCAATTTCGTAAACAAATCCTTGGAGTAAATTATTAATTGGTAAAAATGTTATGAGTGGAACGGGACATAAAACTGTGTGGAAAGAAGGAGCTCTCACGATTGAAATTGGACTGGATGGAAACGGAAATTTAAATGGACACGAGAACGACGGTCAAGAACGCTGGGCACCCGAGCAGGGAAGTTCTTACTAGAGACAGACATTTTTAATAATGTACGAAGACCAAGTTGTGAAATAAATTAGTAAATTTTAAGTTAAGATCAAAAAGGGGTAATGGCCATGTATGCGAGGGGAGGAATAATGGGAAAAAATTAAAAAAACAACAGGGTCCTAATTATTATCATTTTTCGAATTGTTACATGTGTTATTTATTTATGTCATCTGAAGAACAGGAATTTCAATGTTAATTAGATTTTTGAAACAGGTATTGTTATTATTGGTAACGGTAAGGAAACTCCCCAAATGTAAAAAAAAGAGGGTATATTTATTACGTAATTTTTCAAAACCGAGAATCTTTAGAGACGGTCTTGTCTTACCCACAACATAAAAAGATCATGACGGATTGACATCGGTGCGTAAAGAGGGCCAATTGCGTAGTAAATAAAACATCGAAGAAAGTTAGATCGATAATAAAGTAATTGCATAGTAGTTTTTTATTATTTAGATTTATTTAGTCAAAAACAGTAAAAACTGTATGTGACGTAGGGGGAGAAGATTATTTAGTTCAAGGAGGAATCCACCAGAGTTCCATACCAAGGGCATGAATAATGTAGCTTATGTCACAAAGTTTTCACAGAAACAAGGATGTCAATATTGACATTCGTGTGTTGCATGGGAACGGCATCCTGTCCATGAAGGCAGATATCCAATTTTCCTAAGGATACCGTTATATCTGAAACATGTGTTCTGTTTCCATCGTAGTTCCCTCCACAATTAGGTTCACAACTCTTGTAGACAACGGCAAAACGTTAAATGAATGATCAACTACATGCATAAGAAACAATCATTGGTATCAAGCAACTATTAATAGTACTTCTACGAGTAGTTGTTGCTGGCAGAGCGAATCCTGAATTAATAATTATGCAAATCTCGTCAGTCTGCGCAAACCACGGTGTACACAGAGCGTAAATATAAGATGGAGGAATCTACGCCTTCTATAGGTGACATCACAAAGATTGCCGCCAGCACCAAGGGCTTAAATAATGTGGTATTAGTAGTATCGATAAGCGCAGAACCGGCAACAATTGAGTAGAATGTCCAAGAATATCTCATTTGAGAAATGAGGCCTTCCCCTTAAAATTTTAGTTTTTAAGACATTAGAACGCATTGTGTAGGGGTTATTTAACGTTATAGAATCAAAAAAATGCTGCGAGAATATTGCGAGTTGAATTTGACCCGAATATTTATATGCATTTTTTAAATAAAATCTTTTAAATTTTTCAAAGCCAAAGTGAAATTTGTCACATCTCTGAGAAATTCTCTTTCATTAGAGACCTCAGTTATAAAGATAAGGTGCATGTGAGAACCGCAAAATATATCTATACTACTGAAATAATATAGGGGGCGATAGGATGATGATAAGTGATCGTGGCCTTCTTGAATCATCCCAGCATTCAGATGTTTGGCCGAGGGAATCCATAAAAACAATGATCGGGATGGTTGACCCGGGGATAGAACCCGGTTCTTCCAGCTACGAAGTCAGCGCAAAACGCCCTATACCACTTCGCTCGGTTTCTTGTTCCTCTTCTTTTTTTCATCTTCTTCTTCTTCTTCTTCTTCTTCTTCTTCTTATTATTATTATTATTATTATTATTATTGTTATTGAAATTATAGTTAGTTCTTCCTGCTGATCCTGGTTTAATGTAGATAGATGGTAAGCTTTAACTAGGTTTGGGCCATACAGGATCAATCTTAGGTAGATACCAGGAATTGAGAGGATTGTAGTGTATTAATTAATAGCTCAACGTTTCGCACATTTTGCACGTGCCTTGTTAACAGCAATAGAGGTAATGAAAAAACTGTGGACAATAGCATGGACAAACAATTTAACATAATAAAAACAAAGGAATATCTTCTTTTTAATGTTCAATAAGTTGCCGGTGCTACCATAAACCGCTGAGCCATACCTTATTTGTTTGAAAAACCTCATCTTGCAGGTTGTCCAGGGTTTAAGGTCAGAGGTGATATTGAAATTAATTCCTTATATCTAAGATTGATCCTATAAGGTCCAAACTTACTTAAATCTTACCATCTATCTACAATATTATTATTATTTTTCTCTTCTGGCCAGGCGTTCACAAGTCCAAAGAGCGACTTCAGCTTACAAAAATATTTTGAGTTTTACGCCGACTTCAAGAGCAAACACACGACTCCTGGCAGCTGCGAGACGAAAGACGACAAGTTGCTGCACGATTGTTCTTTGGGCGACGTGCGGCTGGTGCTGTACACGAATCGATTCGTGGCTCGCCGCCGCGGGGCGACCGACGGCCCGCATCTGCACTTCCAACACGAGGACCTCCTGCGCACCGGTGACCCCTCTACCCCCAACACTGTCTTCTCCTTCGGCTACAACGACCAAGAGGTACGTAGCACCCCTCACAACGAGCCAAGGATCTGGAATCCAACTGCAGAACGCACAAACTAACGAGGAAGAATTTAGGGAATGGAGAGTGAGCATCAAAGGAAGTGGTAATTAGAAAATTGCTAACAAGTTAAATGTTCTATCGTGCCATCAAACGTAATATCCCTTATTTTCATCTTTAAATGTTTAAAACTGTGTAAATAAATTCAGCACGGATATTGAAGTTAACCATTACGTATACTCGTAAAGTACTGGGATTTTATAAACAATGAAAATTCATTAGAATCTGTCGTATGCGGTCAACAAATAATTGCGGCCAAAATAGGCCGTTAATCGAAGTGGCCGCTAGTTAGATAATGGGGACGCTGGAGGCGTAAATCAAATTTAATTGCGCCAATTGTTATGAAATGAGGTAGGTTTTATGATTTTTTTCTGTCAAACGCAAAGTGCAATTTAAATAAGGTATTCAGATCGAATTCGCCTAAGTGCATTTTACTTTATTCTTACAATAAATTTACAGAAAAAACATTGGGATTATTTTTGAAAAAATGTTGCACAGGCTTCAAATAAAGTAACCCCAAATTTTAAAAAAACGTTTTTCAAAATCCTGGCACCTTGAGTGGAGCCAGATCGATCGGGGAATATACCGTTTGGAAAAACTCGTACGTATGGTTTAGGCGTTAGTGGTGTTCATAGACGGACGAACGGACGGTCGTTTTCCAGTCAGTCGGCTTTTGGGCGACAAGGACCCATAAAACATGGATTCTGGCTACACCATGTGTTAGAGGATTTTGTTTCTTATTTTTCAATTACTAATTTATATTTAACATTTAATTTATATT